CGCTGAATCCTCCATCAGTTTCTAATAAACATAACCTTTTCTTTCTTTCGCATTTCAAAAAAAAGTTCTATCCTTTATAATAATGTCTGAGATCTTCACAGATCTCTTTGGTCTTAAATCACAAAAATCATCTGTTGTATTGTCATATTTATTCCAGTTAAGCCTAATTCTTCAAGTTAGAGGAAAGGAGCAGAAAAAGATCCCTAAAGGAGTGGATTCTATTGATAGACTGCCTCAGTTTGAAATTACCACTCTGCCACTTAAAAAACTTTAAATTCAGTTTCCTCATTTTAAAATATGGCCATAATTATAATATTCAAATGAGTACCATGCTTCATATTTGAAATGGTCTCTGGAATAGAACAAGCACATTATAAGCACTAGCTCTTATTTTTATTAATAAAATTTATTTCATTAATATTTGTAACAGACGTATTTTGTGTTAACAATTCACCTCATTAAGTGAAGGTGAAATGTAACAGGATTTCAGGGCTGATTCCCCTAACACACATTCTATACCAAAAGTTCAACACCAGCCAACTTCCTTTAAATTCTTCGGTGTGTAAGAAAGGTAGACTTATTTGCATTTTACTCCTAACCTGCCTAGGTTTCTTTCTTTCTCTGGAGGTCCCTGAGGCTGTACAAATAAAACCTCAAGGTCATCTAGCCTGGCAAACGCCCTCAGGGTGAGAGTCGGCTTCAGGACTCTGCTGGCCCCTGGGGTCCTTCCTTAATTTAGCTTGTGTTACTCCTCTCTTTCTAATTCTTGGAAGCAGTCATGAGTATGTTTTGTTTCTATTTTATCTAGAATTTTGGTTGTTTGCAGAGAAATGAGTCAGTACAGGCACCAGTATGTCATAATACCATTCCAAATGCATACTCATCATAAAATCATGAGTATTATTCTTACTTTTATTTTAAAATATCTTCACATCATGAATAAAAAATCAAATCAATACAAGAGTCCAAAATAAACGGTAAAAATTATCCTCAACCTCTCCCTGGTTCCATTCCGAAAAATAATTCACACAATAAATAAAAAACACAATTAGTAGCAATTGTGTTTTTTAGCTTGAGGTGTGATTTTTTTCTTTGGATTTTACCATTACAAATTAAATATAAGGAAGGGCTTAATACTGTAGTTTCTCAATTTTTGATAACATCTATTAGCTCTGCACTATGAAATAAAAGACCCAACATATTCTGTCTCCTACTTTACACTTCTTGATCTATTACTTTATTAATGATATTAAGGTTTCTAATATTTATATTGTTATACTATAATTAAGTCCTCTGCAATGTATACAGATTGATTTCAAATCAATCAATATAATTTCCTATCAAACCAAATAATGCAGCCAAACAAAGAAGTAAATGAAATTCTGTGGTCACCAAACCCCTGACTTTTGAAGAATGTCCCAAGCATGAACTAAAAATGTCTTCTTTATTAATTTTTTCCACTTTTCTCTACTTCATCCAGAAATTCTCAATTTATGTTCTCAATGTTTATGTCACCCTTCTCTTGTTCCCTTTTCTTTTTTTTTTAATTTTTCTGAACCATCTTCACGTATGGGGATGTGGAGTTACTAAGCTTTCCAAGCTCTTGCATGTCAGAAAATTATTTTCTTGTTTCATTTAATTGAAACTTCGGGTAGAGACAGAATTCTGTCAATATGTCCAAAATTATCGCCTCTTAGAAATTTTAGAAAATATTATTCCATCATTCCCTGCTCTGAAAAGTCTCTAATGCTGATGAGACAGTGTTGATAACAGTATGTTTCTCATCCCATTGTAGGTGACCCAGTTACTTTCCTCTGGGGAAGCTTCAAGGGTATTTTATTTCTAGTCTTCTGAAAATGCAAGAGAATGAGAAAAACATAAATGTCTTTGAAAATCTGTCTGTGGTATTTTGTTGAGCTCTTCTAATTGAAGACATGTCTTTATTCCCTTCAAGATAACTTACTGTTTTTTACATCAAATACTTCCTACCATCCTAGCATTCTGCTCCTGGAATGCCTAATAAACAGATGTTTGGCTTGTGTCTAGCTTCAATTTATCATATTTTCAATATATTAGTCTTTTTATATTCAACTAATGCTTATATTGTAGTTTTTTTTTAAAGTTATTTCATTGGGACCTTGTAATAAAAGGGAGATACAGACATATATGTGTACATACATATATGTTCTTTCATATGAAACCAGAAGTCTGGGTTTTTTAGTACCTTTATGTAAATCTCTTATGTAATATGTTGAAAATTAAACTATATGCATTCCTTCAAGACTATAGCACATCCATATATATAAAATGTAAATATATAGGAGGTAAATGTTCTGATATTTTGATAAGAAAATTTTAAAATTAATCCCATTATTTCATAAATATAAGTTTGAGATCAATATTGATATATTGAAATCAATAATCTGAATTTTTCATTAGATACATATTATATACCCACATGTTTGAAAGGTATTCTCATTTGTAGAAAGGATTCAAAAGCCAAAGAATTCTATGTGACTAAACTATGTTGCTTTTTGGATAAGCTGAATCCCAACCAATAGTTTTAAATGCAAGTGTTTCCTGCCAAAAAAGTAAATACTATTTAAAAAATCTACAAACAATAAAGACTGAAAAGGGTCTAGAACAAAGGGAACCCTCCTACACTACTTGTAACAATGTAAATTCACCATGAAGAACAGCATGGAGGTTCCTCAAAAAACTAAAAATAAAGCTACCGTATAATCTAGCAATTCCATTCCTGGGCATATATCCAAGGAAAAACATAATTCAAAAGCATACATGCACCCTACTGTTCACTGCAGTACTATTTACAATAGCCAGGACATGGAAGCAACCTAAATGTCCATCAACAGAGGAACAGATAAGGAGGATGTGGTACATATATATAAAATGGAATATTACTCAGCCAATAAAAAGTGAAATATTGTCATTTGCAGCAACATGCATGGACATAGAGATTGCCATACTGAGTGAAGTAAGTCAAAGAGAGAAAGACATATTATATGATATTGCTGATACGTGGATCTTCAAAAAAGGCTAAAGATGAACTTATCTACAAATAATAAACAGAGTTATAGATGTAGAAAATAAACTTATGGTTACTAGGGATAAGCGGGGGAGGGATAAACTGGAAGATTGGGACTGACACATACTCACTACTATATATAAAATAGATAACTAATAAGAATCTAGTGCAGAGCACAAGGAACCCGATTCCATACTCTGTAATGGCCTATATGGGAAATGAATTTCAAAAAAGAATGGATGTATGTATAATAGAGTCACATTGCTGTACACACCTGAAGCTAACAACACTATAAATCAACTATATCTCAACACAAGTTATTTTTTAAATAAAAAGGAGCTTCCAAACGCAGTGAGAGATAAAAGGTAAAAGAAGCAAGCATAAGTTAGGTAAAAACAACTGGTAGGCAACTCATCTTTCTCTAGAACAGATCTCTCAATCATCTTTTTTTCACTACAAACATAACGTGTAACATTTACATATACATTCCTATGCATTACCTTCAGAAATCTGCATTGGTTTTTCCCAGTAGCTATAATACTACAATAGAAATAACTCTTAATTCATTCTGAATATTCCAAAGCTTAAAAACTTTATAGAGGCTTCGTTGCTAAGTCATGTCTGACTCTTGCAACCCCATGGACTGTAGGATCCTCTGTCCATGTGGTTTCCCAGGCAATAATACTGGGGTGGGTTACCATTTCCTTCTCCAGGGGATCTTACCAACTCAGGGATCAAACACTGGTTTCCTGCACAGTTTTTTGCAGGCTGATTCTTTACCAACTGAGCTACCAGGAAAGCCCTAAAAAGCTTTACATTAGTAATAAATTACTCATGACATACTTCACAATGGATCCAAAGGTATGTATAACAATAACTCACTTGAGAATCACAGCACAACCCTAAAATTCCTCAAGATGAAGAAATAATTTGCTAAAACAATCATGAGTATCTCTTAAATGTCAAGACACTGCTAGATCTAATGCTAATTTTGACTCCATCTCTCAGATTCAGTCAACTAATGTCTTAGAAAAAAAATAAGTCCATTCATGAATGAATCTCACCAAATTAATTTTATTTCTATAAATTCCTAAACATTCACAGCTGTATTTAACTAGGCTTGCATTTGTACTTCATTTAAATGAGTTCTTCCTACACTTGTAAGTTACTTCACCATTCGAAAACACTGTAAATGAACTCTTGGAATTATGTACCCAGTAGAATTTTAGTTCAGCAAGCAATGCTACTTCTCTGGTTGACTGGCTATACTTTAAAAACTGGTTAATGGTCCTATTTTGCTCTTGTCACTAATAATATCCTGTGATAGTCTAATTTCTATAAAAATTTATTTTAACAATATCTGTACATAAAACTCTAACTTTTTAACTTTAAATTTCACTTTGATCTTTTAATAAATTTAATTTGAAAGAATTAGTTCAGTATATAGTTTTAAATTTCACATGCTTTCCTTATTTCAATTTATTCAATATTAGCTATTTATAAAAAAAAGGGAAATTCAGATAGCAAAGTTCACATCAACACAGTTTAAAACACAGATTAACAGGGATAAAAAATGTCGCTCAAGAGTCTTAAATTTCAAGAGAGATTCAAACTGAAAAGGGTAAATATGTGCACTTATGAGTAAATTGATTTGAACTTAAAGTAAATCTTCCACTTCACATACAAGTTGAATTTTCCTATTTGTCCTAAGAATGGATTCTCTCTGACCCTAAAGGAAATATTGCATATAATATTTTCTCATGGAGCAATGTTAGACTTCTGATTAACTTCAAGAATTTCATTGAACTTTAAAAATATGGAAGTTTCACACTAGCTGAAGATGTCACAGCGGGCCACCAGGTACCACTCTCAGCTCCTAATATGATGTTTATGTTACACAGTCTCCTCACGATTCCTAAATTACAAACACATTTGGTTAGAAAACCATTCTTACCACATCTGATACTTTAGTAGTTCTTTCTGTTCTTGACAAGAAAGCAGCATATTGGTTAGTCAAGTTGGGTAGTTCATCACAAATTTCAGGGACCTGTGAATGCCAGAAATAAAAAACATGTTGAAAGAAGAGGTATACACCGCTTATTTTTCTCAATACAAGGGGCACAATAAATAACTCTGCAATAAGCGTATAGAACAAAATTCTGTAAAGCAATTATCCTTCAATTAAAAAGCAAATAAATTTAAATTTAAAAAACAATTTTAAAAAATGGCTATCATTAAATAGAGACATATTTATTTTTTAAACATTTTAAATGGAATATAGTAAAAGATTTTAACAATGAAACATTAAAACGGGAAAAGGGTTGATTATATGAACTCGGAAAGTAATATGGCTCTGCATACATTATTTAAACATATTTAGGGGCAAATTACAGCCTGCTAATTATGAATCAGGACAAGAATTGGTTCTGAATTTAACATTAGAGTATGGCTAACAAAGTGGAAGTGTTAGCCGCTCAGTCGTATCCGACCCTTTGCAACCCCATGGACTGTAGTCCACCAGACTCCTCTGTCCATGGAATTCTCTAGGCAAGAATACTGAGTGGTCAGGAAGATCCCCTGGAGAAGGGAATGGCAACCCACTCCAATATTCTTGCCTGGAGAATCCCACGGACAGAGGACCTTGGTGGGCTATACAGTCCATGGAGTCACAAAGAATTGGACATGACTGAGCAACTAACTCTTTGACTTTATTAGCTCACTCTTAAGTTAAATTCAGAACCAGTTCTTGTCCTGATTCATAACTAGCAGGTTTAATATCAATAGTATATAAGATATTTGGTCAATTATATAGTATTATTTGTTACTACCTGATTATTAATACATGAACTAGAAATACATTAACTATTTAAATTGATTATGTGGCAATCCTGCATTAATAAATTTTCTAGTAAAATGATCCACACTTTCTTAAATATAATTCCTTATATGCATTGAAGATGCAAATTAATAGGCTAGAGGAAGGTGATAATCTAAATTTTTAATTAGCAATTAGTTAATGCTCATTATATTATACTCCTAATTTATTACACGATTCAGTCATTCGTATTCATCTAATAATTTAAAGCATATAACCAACAGTAACATTCTTTTTATATACAAAAAGGATGAGAATTTATTTCCCTGTTTTTATACACTTCGCTATTTTTATTTCAGAATTTTATATTTAACATTTCAGAATTTAACACCTAGTACAATAGTTAGATATTTCGTTCTCTGCTCATTTTTTCAGGAACATTGATCTACTAAAAAATCCACCTCTCACTGTTCACTTTATCTTTGAAACTATATGCTTCACTATGCTGAAGTTGGTGCTTCTCTATTCTTTCCTTCATGTTTTATTCCTGCATAGTCACTCAAAAATAAATAGGTAGTTTCTGTCACTTACAAAAACAGAAAAATCACACTTTACATCTTGTAGAGATGTGAAATCCTTCAAACAGCATCTGAGCCAGCATTATTATTTCACGTGATTTTTAAATTTACTGAAACTGAAAAACAATCCACTTTCATAATAATGTATTATTATCATGTATGTGGTATTAGAAATTATGAAATAAGCTCAAAAGCATTTTGCAATTTTTACTGTTTAGAAATTAACAAGCTCAAAGAATGTATAACTCATTGCATGACTTTGGCTTTAGAGGGAATGTAGTTTGCAGAACACTGCAATTTTGTATTTTTACCAAATTAATCCATATAAAATATAACAAAACAGAACTGAATTTTTATTTGTTCTAAATATGATGTATTTGTTATAAACCCCGATAAAATATACATTTTTAAGTCTTCACAGGGCTGTGAATGCTTCCAAATCTAGGAGCTGTCAGCACAGACAAGAAGGGTTAAGATTCTGAAGAGGACAGAATCTCTGAAAGGTTATCTATCAATCTGTAGGTGCTTTTTTTCTCCTGGGATAATTGCTGATAACAGGACAGAAAGAATCTGGGTTTAGATCTGGCAGAGGGCTGCTATTAAGGAGCTAGAAAATAAGTTTATTATGGTCTTGTTGGGCCACATGACAAAACTGGATTTGAAGTGCCTCAAAATACTTGATTTGTTTTCCCCTTAAGATGTTAGCAAGGGGATAAGAAGCAGGATAATGCTAAAAATCTAAGCTAAAACTCTGAAATGCGGAGTCATTAAATATTAGAATTCAGAACATGGGGGTGGCAGTGGTCAGACACATCTGGCTCACAGTTGAAATCCCCAGAGGACCATAATTTATACAATGAACACAGGAGGTAAACTAAGCCCTGGAAAAACTGTACGTAACACAAACCATGATTAGATTAAGATGATCTCCATTGAGATCTCCACTGACTCCAGCAGACTCTCCAGCTGTTTTGCAGAGAAAAATGCAAAATCTTTCTATTAGAAGATAATACCACTTAAAGTCCCTATATTATACACTAAGTATTTAACATTCAATTTCCAACTATGTGTGTTCCATACTTTCTGTGTTGAAAATCATTTGCTCCTATTGATAGAAGAATCCAATCTGGTTCAGAAATTCAGTGGCTCTGCTATCCCTATATCATCTACCCTACCCTACAGGATTCTGGGAGCACAGAATCTTAGCCATTGGACCGCCAGGGAAGTCCCCATTTTAATTTTCTTTATCAATTTTTACAATAAATTGTTCTCTTTAAGCTTCCTAGATCATATTTCTATGCTTCTCTGTTGTATTCACTTATTCAATTATTACTTCCTGAGTGTGTAATATAGGACAGACATAGTTCCGAAGTTCTGTACATGCCCTTTTATGATCTGACAACTATGTTCAAACTTCCCCAGTGTTTAACTTCTGTTTATATACTATGTACAGAATATCCACATATCTATTCTTTCCATGTTTTCTACCTGAATTTTTAGCTACTTTAACTTTCCCATATACACATTCTTTTAAGCTTTCTCAACTTCTGCAGTGATGAGAAAAATGAATAATTATATATACATACTTTAAGATGTCTTTTTAAATCTGAACTCTGAATGAAGAAAGAGAAAAATATCATATAACATCACTCATATGTAGAATCTAGAAAAATGGTACAGGTGAACTTATTCCCAAAGCAGAAATGTAGACACAGACTTAGAAAACAAACTATGGACACCAAGGGAAGAGGGGAGAGGCAATGAGTTGGGAGGTTAGAGTCAACATTTATACACTGTTGTTGTTGTCTAGTCATTAAGTCACATTTGACTCTTCTACAAGCCCACCAGGCTCTTCTGTCTATGGGATTTTCCAGGCACAAATACTGGAGTAGGTTGCCATTTCCTTTTCCAGGGCATCTTCCTAACCCAAGGATCAAACCCCTGTCTCCTGCACTGGCATTGGCAGGTGGATTCTTCACCTGTGTGTATGTGTGTATATATATACACATACACACATATACATATATACACATACGCACACTATTATGTATAAAATAGGTAGCTAATGAAAACATACTGTATAGCACAGGAAACTGTACGCAATGCTCTGTGTTGACCTAAATGGGCAGGAAGTCTAAAAAAGAGTGATTATATCTAAAATAATTAATTTTTTAAAAGTTTAACATGCAGCAAACTGCATTGTCAGAATTTTACTCATTAAGAGTGGTTTTCTGTCAACCTGTTAGGCTAATTTTATTTGTATCATCTCTTACCTTAGGAACATTTTTTGTTTTCTGCTGATCATATTGAAACAGGGATTTTATGTATTTCTTGTACATGTCTAACAATGTCCAGAATCTCTTTGACAATTTTTAACTTTTAAATAACATGATCACTATTTATAAAATAATTCTTCCCTTCTATTTCATAAATGAGTTCTCCTCTATTTAATCAAAATTAAGGTCAGAATAAGAGTTCCTCTATTGGCTTTCACTTCTTTCTACAGAGTAAACTGTCAGCAAATCAAGAAATGAAAAATTTTTGCTTTCAATAAAATAGGAAATCAAACAAAACTCTTATATTTACCCATACAAGTATCTTTTATACTCTGCATTACTTCATAAAGATCCAGATTTTATTGGGTAACATTTTTTCCGCCTGGAGGACTTTCTTTAACATTTCTTACACTTCTATGGATAAGTAGTTAAGCTTTCATATATATGAAAAGGTCTTCTTTTTTATTGAGGTAGAGTTGACATCCAACATTATATTAGCTTCAGGTGTACAACATAATGGTTTGATACTTGTACATATTGCAAATGGGCATTACAATGTCAAGTTAACATCCATCACCACAAAGTTTGTGACATTGTACAGCAAGCAGTGATCAAGACCATCCCCAAGAGAAAGAAATGCAAAAACGTAAAACGGCTGTCTAAGGAGGCCTTACAAATATCTGTGGAAAGAAGAGAAGTGAAAGCAAAGGAGAAATGCAAACATACACCCATCTGAATGCAGAGCTCCAAAGAATAGAAAGGAGAGACAAGAAAGCCTTCCTCAGCGATCAGTGCAAAGAAACAGAGGCAAACAATAGAATGGGAAAGATTAGAGATCTCCTCAAGAAAATTAGAGATACCAGGGGAACATGTCATGCAAAGATTGGCTCAAGAATATAATTATAATGATTGTTTAATGTACTTATCTACTAATTTTGTCATCTGTGTAATTTCTGGGTCTCTTCTCTATTGAATTTTTTCCTTATTCTAGGTTGTATTTTCCTACTCCTTTACATACCTAGTACTTTTTTTTAATTGAATGCCATACTCTGTGAGTTTTACCTTGTTGGGCTCTGGGTTTTTTAAAACCCTATGACCATTCTTGAGCATTGTCCTGGGATGTACAAGTTCAATAAGGCACAAAAGATATATAAAAGATGAAACTAATGGAGAAAAAAAACTTGAGAAAATTTTTCTAACTAGTAATAAATGAGTAGAATTAATCATTTAATCTAGCAAGAAGTATGGACCATTGGTAAAGCAATTCTTCTATAAAGACTATTACGTTTCTTCATACCAAAAAGGGAAACTGTTAGTTGCTCAGTTGTGTCCGACTCTTTATGACCCCATGGACTATAGCATACCAGGCTCCTCTGTCCTGGAATTCTCCAGGCAAGAATACTGGAGTGTACTGCCATTTCCTTCTCCAGCGGATCTTGCCACCCAGGATTCAAACCAGGGCCTCCCACGTTGCAGGCAGATTTTTTACCGTCTGAGCCACCAGGAAGCCCTGACACCAATGACAGAAAGCTAAACAATGAAAATGTTTAAAAGACAGTACTTTAATAGCATTTAAAAGACATCCAAAACTGATGAACAAATATAATAAAAATGTGTAAGACATCTACACAAAAATTTTATAAAACTGCAGAGAGAATTTAAAGACGACCTATTTAAAGAAAGTCTAGGACTTCCCTTCAATACCATAGTATCCAAGTCTATACCCCGACCAGTAATGCTGGAGAAGCTGAACAGTTCTATGAAGACCTTCAAGATCTTCTATAATTAACACCCAAAAAAGATGTCCTCTTAGTGATAGGGGACTGGAATGCAAAAGTAGAATGTCTAGAAATACCTGGAGTAACAGGCAAATTTGGCCTTGGAGTACAGAATGAAGCAGGGCAAAGGCTAATAGAGTTTATCCAAGAGAACGCACTGGTCACAGCAAACACCCTCTTCCAAGAACACAAGAGAAGGCTCTAACATGGACATTACTAGATGGTCAATACTGAAATGAGATTGATTATATTCTTTGTAGTCAAAGATGGAGAAGCTCCATACAGTCAGCAAAAACAAGACTGGGAGCTGACTGTGGCTCAGATCATGAACTCCTTATTGCCAAATTCAGACTGAAATTGAAGAAAGTAGGGAAAACCAATAGACCATTCAGGTATGACCTAAATCAAATCCCTTTATACAGTGGAAGTGAGAAATAGATTCAAGGGATTAGATCTGATAGACAGAGTGCCTGATGAACTATGGACAGAGGTTCCTGACATTGTACAAGACATGGGGATCAAGACCATCCCCATGGAAAAGAAATGCAAAAAAGTAAAATGGCTGCCTGAGAAGGCCTTACAAATAGCTGTGAAAAGAGAGGCAAAAAGCAAAGGAGAAAAAGAAAGATATTTCCATTTGAATGCAGAGTTCCAAAGAATAGGAAAGAGAGATAAGAAAGCCTTCCTCGGTGGTCAATGAAAAGAAGTAGAGGAAAACAATAGAATGGGAAAGACTAGAGATCTCTTCAAGAAAATTAGAGATACCAAGGGAACATTTCATGCAAAGATGAACTCAATAAAGGACAGAAATGGTATGGACCTAACAGAAGCAGAAGACATTAAGAAGAGGTGGCAAGAACACACAGAAGAGCTATACAAAAAAGATCTTCACAACCCAGATAATCACGATGGTTTGATAACTCACCTAGAGCCAGACATCCTGGAATGTGAAGCCAAGTGGGCCTTATAAAGCATCACTACAAACAAAGCTAGTGGAGGTGATGGAATTCCAGTTGAGCTATTTCAAATCCTAAAAGATAACACTGTGAACACACTGTACTCAATATGCCAGCAAATATGGAAAATTCAGCAGTGGCCACAGGACTAGAAAAGTTCAGTTTTCATTCCAATCCCAAAGAAAGACAATGTCAAAGAATCATCAAACTACCGCACAATGGTACTCATCCCACATGCTAGCAAAGTAATGCTCAAAATTCTCCAAGCCAGGTTTCAACTGTATGTGAACCATGAACTTCCAGATGTTCAAGCTGGATTTAGAAAAGGCAGAGGAACCAGAGATCAAATTTCCAACATCCGCTGGATCATCAAAAAAGCAAGAGAGTTCCAGAAAAGCATCTACTTCTGCTTTACTGACTACGCCAAAGCCTTTGACTGTGTGGATCACAACAAACTGTGGAAAATTCTGAAAGAGATGGGAATACCAGACCACCTGACCTGCCTCTTGAGAAACCTGTATGCAGATCAAGAAGCAACAGTTAGAACTGGACATGGGACAACAGACTGGTTCCAAATAGGAAAAGGAGTACATCAAGGCTGTATACTGTCACCCTGCTTATTTAACTTTTATGCAGAGTATATCATGTGAAATTTTGAGCTGGATGAAGCACAAGCTGGAATCAAGATTGCCAGGAGAAATATCAATAACCTCCGACATGCAGATGACACCACCCTCATGACAGAAAGTGAAGAAGAACTAAAGAGCCTCTTGACGAAAGTGAAAGAGGAGAGTGAAAAAGTTGGCTTAAAACCCAACATTCAGAAAACTAAGATCATGGCATCTGGTCCCATCACTTCATGGCAAATAAATGGGGAAACAGTGGAAACAGTGACAGAATTTATTTTTTGGGCTCCAAAATCACTGCAGATGGTGACTGCAGCCACGGAATTAAAAGACATTTGCTCCTTGGAAGAAACGATATGACCAACGTAGACAGCATATTAAAAAGCAGAGACATTATTTTGCCAACAAATGTCCATCTAGTCAAGGCTATGGTTTTTCCAGTAGTCATGTATGGATGTGAGAGTTGGCCTATAAAGAAAGCTGAGTGCTGAAGAACTGATGCTTTTGAACTGTGTTGTTGGAGAAGACTCTTGAGAGTCCCTTGGACTGCAAAGAGATCCAACCAGTCCATCCTAAAGGAAATCAGTCCTGAGTGTTCATTAAAAGGACTGTTACTGAAGCTGAAGCTCCAATACTTTGGCCACCTGATGCAAAGAACTGACTCATTGGAAAAGACCCTGCTGCTGGGAAAGATTGAAGGTGGGAAGAGAAGGGAACGACAGAGGATGAGATGGTAGGATGGCATCACCAACTCAGTGGACATGAGTTTCAGTATACTCCGGGAGTTGATATTGGACAGGGAAGCCTGGTGTGCTGCAGTCTATGGGGTTGCAAAAAGTCGGACATGACTGAGGACTGAACCAAACTGAAGTGAGGACTTCACTGCAGGTACAGTGGATAAGAATTCACCTGCCAGTGCAGCGGGCATGGGTTTGATATCTGGTCCAGGAAAATTCCAAATGCCAAAAGTATATGAGATCTTCAAAGAGGTAAATAATAAGGCCTTTTTTTTAACCATACCACATGGCTTGTGAGATCACAATTTCCCTACCAGGGACTGAACTTGCACCTACACACTTTCAGCTGTGAAAGCATGGTGACCTAACCACCAGGGAATTCCCAAATAAGATATATTTTTTAAAAAGAAATTATAAGCATAGCTTAAACCAAATTAATTTTTGTTTTCAATGCCATAACTGACCACACGTAAATAATTTTAACAATAACAGTATGGCTTATAATAATGAGGTACATATACCACAGGTAATTTTGTAAACTCTAAATTCTTTGTATGAGATATAAATAATATAATTTTGGTATTCACATATTACCTTATAATCAGCAGGCCCAGGAGTAGTAAAAACTTCTTTCTGAACCAGAAATAGAGTCCGAGGAACAGAAGAACCAAATGCACTTTTCTTTGGTTTCTTCCAGGAGGTATGACTAAAGTTGTCAATGAACGTATCGTTCTGAATATTATAAAACCCTGGACCTAGAATTATGAAGAATATAATATATAATAATAAGCAACATTTTAATTGTTTTAAACTTAGTAACTTTACTATTTATTTTATTGTATTGCATTTATTAAATGAGTCTTTAAATTCTATAGTGCTTTAAAATTTTCAAAAGTTTCACACACCTGATTTCATATAATCCCATAATAACGCTTTTACTCATCCCTGCCTCTGTACTCCTGACCTCTGCCCTCTCCTCACTGGGAAACACTAGTTTGTTCTCTTTATCTGTGAGTCTGCTTCTTTTTTGTTTTATTCAGTTTATTTATTTAGTTTGTTGTATTTTTCAGATTTCACATATAAATGATATCATATTGTACTCTTCTTCTCTGACATTTCATTTAGCATAATATCCTCAAAGTCGATCTATATTGCTGCAAATGGCAAAAGTTCACTCTTCTTATGGCTGAGCAGTATTCTGTTGTTTATATACGTCTTCTTTATAAACTGAGTAACTTTAGGCAATTTTTTTAGAAAGACTTCTCATATATTGCTGACAGGAATGCAAAGTGCTTTGCTACTTTGAAAAACAATTTGTCAACTTCTTACAAAGTTAAACTTATACTTACCATATGACCCAGAAATTCTACTTCTAATTATTTCTCCAAGAGAAGTGAAAACAAACCAAATGTCCATCAGCTGGTGAGCAGATAAACAAAATGTGCTACATGCAAACAATGGAATACTACTCAATAATAAAAAGAAAAAATAAATGCAACAACATGAATGAACTCAAAAACATCATGCCAAGTGAAAGATGATACACAAAATTCTAATAATGTATGATTCCATTTATATAAAATTTTAGAAATGGCTACCAATTCTTTGCTATCCATGTCATTGAGACATAAAGTTTCATGTCCTTCTGTTCAATATGGGCTACCCTGAGTCATTTGACTGACTAATAGAATGTAGCACAAATGATGTCCTGGGATTTTCTGAGGGTCAGTCATAAGTCTTGCAGCATCCTACCAGGTTTCAAGAGCCCTGAGCTCCTATGTCAAAAGATCAACTACCCTGGTGCAGCAATGCTGGAGCTACGCACACTCTCTGAATGACAGTCTCATCTGAACTCTGCCTTCTAGAAACCCCACAAACTAATGAGATATGATAGAAAAAATATTTTAAGCCATTAAGCTTGTCATGCAGCAACAGACAACCTATATGTTAGTGTGTGTGTGCTCCGTTACTTGTGTCCAACTCTCTGTGACCCCATGGACTGTAGCCCACCAGGCTCCTCTGTCCACGGGATTCTCCAGGCAAGAAGACTGGAGTTGGTTGCCAGGCCTTCCTCCAGGGGATCTTCCCAACCCAGGGATCAAACCCACGTCTCCTGCACTGAAGGTAAATTCTTCACCCACTGAGCCACCTGGGAAGCTCTATGGTTATTTTTGTGTTATATTCTTAGATATATAAAGATTATCCACTGTAAGAATATCCACTGAGAATAGTACAACATATGATTGGACATCCCCCAAAATAAAATTCTAACAAAACTGAATATCATAAGTTACATTACTGGCAGTGACCACATAGTTAATATGTTATATATGTTCATCTACCAAGAGAAAATTAGGAACTTTATTGAAAAAAAGGAAAGCAACAGAAAATTATGGCTAAGATATGTGATAAGTTAAATTAAAATCTTACTAAAATTACACATTATTTTTATCTGAGTTTAGTGTATAGTCAATGCTTAAAAAAAAATATTGACTTAAATTAACAACACAACCCACAGAACAAAAAAAACCTGTACTTTCTGGTGCATCCATCTTGTTAACAATATTAAGTTACATAAAGTTAAAGTGGACACATATGAATTAATTTCCAACCTGGCATTTTCTCTGTCTTAGAGTCTTGTGTGAATCGAGCAGCACTTTGACCAAATGAGGTATTTTTCAATCCCAATGTTTTCTTCAAGGGCTTGAAAGCAGTTCGAGATTCATTGTATGTGCCAGGAGCTGGAGTGATTGATTTCATAGGGACAAACCTCTAGTGAAGAACAGGAAAATATGCCAGTGAGAAAGTAATGGTACATTTTGATATTTCATGACTTAAAAGCTGCCTTTTTAGTAATATAATATCTGGAGCTTAATTTATTTCTTAATGGAATGAAGAAAATGTAGATGAATTAAGATCTTGCACCTATCAAGACATAAAATATATACTTTTAGTAAAATCATATGTATATTAATACAGTAATGCATTATATACTTTGCTAAGCCAGAAAGACTTTTCAAAGGAAATCATCTCATTATGAGTTTCAGATGATAGTGTATGGACAATCTCCACATTTAAGACAGTCTGAAAGTTAAGATAATAAATAAAATCTATATGATCAAATACAGTTTCTTCTATGTAATAAAACTGTACAAATTGACAAAGTTCCTGAATATGTATATTCAATTAACACAACAATATTAGCTACCTTAAAAAAATCTTATAGATTCAAGTGGTACATAAATCACTTTAACTTATAATATTCAATTTTTTATATTATAAACTTATAGTAAGCTTACTTAGTATATTCATTTACAGGGAAGCCTGGTGTGCTGCAGTCCATGGGGTCGCAAAGAGTTGGGCACAACTAAGCAACTGAACTGACTGATTAAATGTATCTATATGTAAACTATGAAATCTTATGAAATATAGCACTGTATAATTTATTTTTTAACTTTTTTATTTAGAATTAATTTAAAATTTGGAATATTCAAAGTTATAAATAAAAATAATACAGAAAATTCCTGTGCCATGTTTATCCAGATTCACCTACTGTTAATATGCCATTCACTTTTTTCATTTGTCCACTTTATTTATGCTTTTCTGTTTATATGTCTATTACTCCCTCTCTCTGTCTCTACACACACACACACACACACACACACACACACACACAGAAGTATTTAATGGAAAGTTACATATGTTGTGTTATGGCCCTTTCTCCCTAAATCCTTTGTGTGCATTTACTAAAAATAGGGATATTTTCTTAAATGTATTTTCTTAAATGTAGCAATGATATAAGACTTTTATTTAATCTACCATTCATATTCCAAATCTGTCAGTTGATCTAATTATACCTTTAATACAATTTTCCCGTCCAATACATCATCTAGTCTAGGCTCAGATATTGCTTTTAGCTTCCTTTCATGTAGAAACATTTCCAAAGCCTTCCTAAATACTATCTTATTATTTAAATGCTGAGTACAATATTTTTAAATGGTAACATTCAACCCTGGCTGCATTTCTTGATGAGTTTAAAAAAAAAAAAAATTGATGCCTGCCTGGGCCCTATTCTGGACCAGCTCCATCAATCTCTGGGAGACAGGAAAGAAAGCAATTGGATTTGTATTAAAATTTCCCAAAATATTCTAATTTGCAGCAGAAGTTGAGAAGCATTATTATGAAGAAAATCTTATGTTTTAAAAATTACTAGTTGAAGACATAAGAAAATTCAATGCATTTAGATAAAATACCAGACAACTCCTTAAGTCGATGACTTTTTAAAATAGGTATCCCAGAAACATGATATGTCTTTATTCCTAAAAAACAAAAATTGTCTTCTAAGTCCACCTAGCTAATCGCATTATTGCTTTTTCAATCATAGTCATTAATAAATCTGTCCATATTCAACTAAACACTAACACTACCTAAGCAGGCAGTCCTGTTGGTTTTAACTCTTCCACATCTTTCACTTCAGAATCCCTTAAGCAAAATTGACCATATTCCTTTTCATTTCTGAAAAATATATTTAAAATATTATAATTGATGTCAAGTGATGTCACATTAGGACTATATATTAGATGAACAGAACAACATAAAAACTGAAAGTTCTAGTTGCAAAAATGTGATTTTTAAAAATCAAGGGCACACACAGTATCTCACTCCCCTACATCCATTCTGTGTTGTACCTTAAGTACCATCAAGCTGCTCAAGGCAGAAACCTAGTATTCATTCCTGATTCTTCCTAGTCCCTTACCACAACATTAACTCATTAAAAAGTCATGTTAATTATGTCTCCAAAATATACCTGCAATCTACCTGTCTCCAAGGAGGTGCCTCTTAAGTACATGAAACCAAAGTAGTTACATGTAGTCATCTAAAGGTTAATAACCTTCCCTAGTTAAGTAAGATAATCAGAGTTTTACACAGTACAACTGGAGAAATATCACAACTACTTGATCCAGACAGTGCCACATTATAAAGGTTTGTTAGTATTATAATGTTCTTGCCTAAGAAATAGCTTAGACACCTACAATTCAAGTCCCCTAAATATAGACCGTGGAGAATATAAAATGATTACTGTGAAATAGACTCTTGCATCACTAACGCCCCAGTGGGAGGTTTAGATATGACCTATGACCAGGCTCCATAAAGCCTTCAGAACCTTCTCCAAAAGACTGACATATTCTCATAGATTACATGTTAACACTTCAAATATTCATTGTTGTTATTGTTCACTCACTCAGTGATGTCTGACACTTGGAATCAAACAGACTGCAGCACGCCAGGCTTCCCTGTCCTTCACTATCTTTGGAGTTTGCTAAAACTCATGACCATTAAGTCAGTGATGCCATCCAACCATCTCACCTTCTCTTGCACCCTTCTCCTGCTTTCAATCTTTCCCAGCATCAGGGTCTTTTCAAATGAGTCAGCTCTTCCCATCAGGTGGCCAAAGTGTTAGAGCTTCAGCTTGAGCATCAGTCCTTCTAATGAATATTCAGGACTGATCTCCTTTAGGATGGACTGGTTGGATCTCCTTATAGTCCAAGGGACTCTCAAGAGTCTTCTTCAACACCATAGTTCAAAAGCATCCATTCTTCGGTACTCAGCTTTCTTCATAGTACAACTCTCATATCCATATATGACCACTGGAAAAACCACAGCCTTGACTAGATGGGACTTTGCTGGCAAAGTAATGTCTCTGCTTTTTAATATGCTATGTTGGTCATACCTTTTCTTTCAAGGAGTGTCTTCTGATTTCATGGCTGCAGTCACTACCTGCAGTGATTTTGGAGCCCCAAAAAATAGTCTGTCACTGTTTCCACCATTTCCCCATTTATTTGCCATGAAGTGATGGGACCAGATGCCATGATCTTAGTTTTCTGAATGTTGGATTCCAAGCCAACATTTTCACTCTCCTCCTTCACTTTCATCAAGAGGCTCTTTAGTTCCTCTTCACTTTCTGCCATAAGGGTGGTGTCATCTGCATATCTGAGGTTATTGACATTTCTCTGGGCAATCTTGATTCCAGCTTGTGCTTCATTCAGCCCAGCGTTTGTCATGATGTTTCATGACTGGTTTGATCACCTTCCAGTCATATACTCATTAGCAAAATATATTTTAAAACCCAGAGTAAAATTTCTTATAAGATAAACTGAACTTTCACATATGCAAATTTCCTTAGTAAAAATGTTTAATAAAAATTACAATTTGAATACTAATCTCTGCAATATTCTTAATATTGTAATCTTATGTCATTTAAGTCTACCCACATTTTTGGCAATATGATTTGCCTAGGCTATATCCGTTCCCAATTTGTTTATATACCACTTTTCTTTTTATAATCTCCCTAACACCACTGAATTTGTTGCTAGTGTCACCTTTTACCTATTATCCTCTTATCTGTTAAACAACTGTAGAACATTACCTGGGATTGAGAAAGAAAAGCAGGTGATGCATCATTTACATTTGACGTCGTACTTTTATTCTTCTGAAATTGACTCTTAATGTCATATTTTCCTGGCCCTGGTACTCCCTAAATTACAGAAAGAAAAAAAGACATGCTCTCATTAAGAAAGCATCTATAGCACCTAAGGGAACAGTTGGTTAAATATCTGAACCAAAGCTGGAGGGCTTTTAAGTGATATTACCAAAGCTCTTCATTAAAAAGCAAGCCAGAACAAACTTCTTAAGAGCAACAAAAAAAAAAAAAAGAGAGAGAGAGAGAGAAAGGCTTTGCTTTCCTTTGCAAAGCCTCCCAGGAACATAAAAACACCCTGCTTGAAACTTTGCTGCCCTCTACTGATAGATCTCAGAAAAAAAATATTATCTGAGCTCTTCACGTGATTAAACATTACATTAAATAACTATATTCTTCCATTTAACTTTATACAACCAGCTCTTCTATTTTAACTACAAATGTTAGAAGATATAAGACATTAATCTTTTAACTAGATACTTTACAAGAGATAAAATTAACTCAGTAAATAGATTGAGTTTTAATTATCCTGCTAATAAAATATAAATACGTATCAGGAAGTACTATTTATTCATCATCAAATATTTTAATTACCTTGATAAAGTACCCTTCATAGTATATTAAAAGTTAGATTTAAATCATCTGCTTCATATATAACTCTCCTACTTTTCTATAGTTGAAAGAATTTTACATTGATGTATGAATTAAATACTGGACTTATAACTTGGATGCAAAATGAAATTCTATCAATAAATTCTGTCACCTTTATTATTATAATACATCAAAATCCAACCATGTCTCCCAACCTCTACAAGTACTCTGATCCAAGCCACCATCTCTTATCCAGGTTACTGTAAAAATCTTCTTAACCACCTCCCCTGCTTCCAATATTGCCCATCTTCAGTCTGTTTCTACTACAGAACCTAGCAATGGGTCCAGTTAAGGCCCTTAGTCAGATTACACCACCCCCCTTCTCAAACCCATTCAGTGGTTTTCAATCTCACTTCCAGCAAAAAAAAAAAAAAAAAAAAAAAAAGATCCTAAATATGAAATGAATCTCACTTCCAGACACACTTTTACCACTCTAACCTCCTCTCCTACTGTTCTCTCCACTCTCTTCACTGTTGCCCAAAAAATCAATCATATATTTACCTAAGGACCTTTGCACTTAACCATCCTCTTTGCTAGGAATGTTCTCCTAGATAGCTCCAAGGCTCACTCTTTCAATTCAATCAGTTCACTACTCAACATTACCTTCTCATTGAGCCATTCCCAGGCAACCCAAACTAAAATTTCATTGCTTCCCCAAAACAATCCCTGTTCCCTCTCCTACCTATTTTTCAATCTTATCATTTTTTACTACCCAAAATATCATTTCCTGCTATGTTGTAAGCTCCAGGAGGGCAGTTTTGCTTTGTTTTTTTTCTGTTTCATTGGTTGCTGTTATCTTTAGAGAACAGAATAGTAGCTGGGGCATACTAGGTGCTCAGTAAATATTTGCATGAACTCATGCACTGAATCTTACATTTTCAGTGGCCATATATTGATTTTAGAAGATATGTCCCTCTGGGAACTAATATGTCTCCAAAGAATAGCATTATCCATTTGTAATAATAAGTAAAATATCTATAATTTAAGTAAAAAAAAATTTGAAAAATTCTTTAGGAGAAATTCTTATACATAAATACCTCTTCTTAAAAACAAATTAGATTCTAAAAATGTATGCAAAAGTCCATATTGTATTGTCTCAAATGAACAGATTTATGCAACTATTTGATGGCTGAAAGAAAGATTCACTTTGGTCATGGCATCTAAGATTGTTTTTTCCTATGAACTTACAGAAAGTTACATTCAGAAGAAAAAAATTTCTGTATAATTCTGAGTGTATATAAATGAAATATGTATCAAATACAGAAAAAATACATGATGTAATCTGTTTTATTGAATTTTACAGATATGCTGTATCAGTTTTCTCTCTGTATAGGCAGGCATGATAAAAAATACTTAGATACTGACAAACAGGGACTATTATTACTTTCCTCCTGTTCTGAACAGTTGTCTAGGTGGTCATTAATATGGAGCATGGGAAAAAGACTAAGTGTGAATAATGAGGTAAGTGAATATACTTAGTCTTGAGAACTATTTCACTAAAAGACTAAATGAACACTTGACCTCTTCAATAAATACTTCCTTTTCCTTTTCTTCTGTTTTCCATAATGTTGCTAATAACTGAACTTTGCTTCACTAAAATAACACAGAATAGTAAAATCAGGTCTTTACTTATAAAAAGTTAGAATTTAATAAGCCAATTATAAATAAGTTCCAAAATAGGACTGTGAGACACTGACCACTGCAGGGCAGGTCTCCCTTTGTGACAGTGTGAGAAGGTAAAGTGAACTCTGCAAAGCCCAAACCCCAGACCCAGGATGAACATGCTGTGATATTTACCCTGCTTTTACAAACTGTGATCAACAAAACACCTGCACTGATATCCATCTATTAACACACGGCCTCCCAATGTCTCCTCTGAGATCTTGAATCAGAATCTTTTTGGGCACAGGAATCTACACTTTTAACAAGCCTCACAGAGGATTCTCAAGCACAATAAAGAACCACAGCTCAGCCAAAAAGGGGTCCCTACCACAGCTTTTTCTGCAAAGCACATCTATCTTAAAGCAGAAGGCTTAGATCTTGAAAGTATCCTGCTTTAAGAAGAAAACTTAAAGATTACTGTGGCAGATTGTTTATGTAATCTTTTCATGTACAACCTAATAAAAATGACCCTCTTTAGAGCATGTGCTACCTAATGGAAAGACACACAGTCACTTATAAAGCGGGCACTTATTCCCAGGCAAAGGAATATGCTTGAGGCGGATGCACTTAGCACCTCTTGTAGGAAATTACAGGACAAATAAATTGCTCAACAAATAACTTCAAGGAAAGGAGAGAGAAGAAAAGAGGGCAAGAGCAAGAGAGATGTATCAATTAATACCCGTGACAATGCGTGGACATTCTGTGGATCCTATTTCTAATATTTATGAGACACTGGAAATTTGAACACAAATTAAAAATCTATCATATTAAGTAAACACTGTTAATTTTTTAAGATAATTATTTGGTTTTTTAAAGACTATCTTTCGGAGGTCACTACTGAAATGTTTACAAATAAAGTAAAATGCCTAGGATTTGATCAAAAAAAAAAAGCCCTCTTTAAAAACTAGGGTATAAGCATTCATTTGATCAGATGGTGTGTAGAAGTTATAGGGACTGGGGAAAGTCATACAGTTTAACTTTACTCATCTAACTTGGAGTCACCATCAATGATGATAATTATTTCTACAGAAAGTACTAAAAGCTTACTATGTACAAAGCAGCGTACATACTAATAAATAAAGCATGGGCTTTGCTTTTGAGAAGCTTACACTAGATTTCAACCCATGCTTTACAAAAGAATTATCAGGGGAACTTTTAAAAATAATAATGCCTCATTCTACTTTATTCAAACTAAAGCGAATAGAAATGAGACCCAGGCATTATTAAAATTTTTTAAAGCTTTCTGTTTAATGTTAATGTGCAGTCACAACTGAAGCCTAAAATAGTTAAAAACACACTGCTAGGACCCTGCAGGTACCCTCACTTTCCAGTGTTTCCATAACTGCCATTTTTCCCTAGAGTTCCAGAGTCCCCTTCTGTAAATAAGGGCTATTGTGAGACCAGGCTTCCAGATATTTCTTCCAGCTCAGTTCTATAACTTTAAATTCTACAATTAAACTCTATAATTATATTTTCTTGAAGAAAACTGGAGATACCAAGGGAATGTTTCATGCACAGAATGGGCTCAAAAAAAGACAGAAATGGTATGGACCTAACAGAAGCAGAAGATATTAAGAAGAGGTGGCAAGAACACACAGAAGAACTATACAAAAAAGACCTTCACAACCCAGACAATCACGATGGTGTGATCACTCACCTAGAGCCAGACATCCTGGAATGTGAAGCCAAGTGGGCCTTACAAAGCATCACTACAAACAAAGCTAGTGGAGGTGATGGAATTCCAGTTGAGCTATTATGTCAAATTCTGAAAGACGATGCTGTGAAAGTGCTGCACTCACTATGCCAGCAAATTTGGAAAACTCAGCAGTGGACACAGAACTAGAAAAGGTCAGTTTTCATTCCAATCCCTAAGAAAGGCAATGCCAAAGAAATGATCAAACTAGCTCACAATTACACTCATCTCACACGCTAGAAAGTAAGGCTCAAAATTCTCCAAGCCAGGCGTCAACAGCACATGAACCATGAACTTCCAGATGTTTAAGCTGGATTTAGAAAAGGCAGAGGAACCAGAGATCAAATTGCCAACATCCGCTGAATCATCAAAAAAGCAAGAGAATTCCAGAAAAACATCTATTTCTGCTTTATTGACTATGTCAAAGCCTTTGACTGTATGGATCACAACAAACTGTGGAAAATTCTTAGAGATGGGAATACCAGGCCACCTGACCTGCCTCTTCAGAAACCTGTATGCAGGTCAAGAAGCAACAGTTAGAACTGCACATGGAACAACAGACTGGTTCCAAATAGGAAAAGGAGTACGTCAAGGCTGTATATTGTCACCCTGCTTATTTAGCTTATATGCAGAGTACATCATGAGAAATGCTGGGCTGGAGGAAGCACAAGCTGGAATCAAGATTGCTGGGAGAAATATTAATAACCTCAGATATGCAGTTGACTCCACACTTATGGCAGAAAGTGAAGAAGAAATAAAGAGCCTCTCAATGAAAATGAAAGAAGAGAGTGAAAAAGTTGGCTTAAAGCTCAACATTCAGAAAATGAAGATCATGGTATCTGGTCCCATCACTTCGTGGCAAATAGATGGGGAAACAGTGGAAACAGGCAGATTTTATTTTGGGGGGCTCCAAAATCACTGCAGATGGTGATTGCAGCCATGAAATTAAAAGACGCTTACTCCTTGGAAGGAAAGTTATGACCAACCTAGACAGCATATTAAAAAGCAGAGACACTTCTTTGCCAACAGAGGTCCGTCTAGTCAAGGCTAT